TGGCTGGACCAGAACTGTTTCTAGATTGACTCCCTTAGCTGTAGTCGGTGTTTGGAACCATGGCAGCAGGAGTAGCAGCTTGGTTACCCTTTGCCAGGGCAGCGGCCATAGGATGGATGCCAGTGGCCACAGGTCCCATGCCAGCTGCTCCACGGCAAGAGAGGAAGCGAAGCCAGGACTCTCTGATTGTGCTGAATGTGAGTGGCATCCAGTTCCAGACGTGGCTGGACACCTTGGAGCGCTACCCTGACACTCTGTTGGGCAGTTCAGAGCGGGACTTCTTCTACCATCCTGAGACACAGCAGTACTTTTTTGATCGGGACCCTGACATTTTCCGCCACATTCTCAACTTCTACCGTACGGGGAAGCTCCATTACCCCCGCCAGGAGTGCATCTCAGCTTACGATGAGGAGCTGGCCTTCTTTGGCATCATCCCCGAGATCATTGGTGACTGCTGTTACGAGGAGTACAAGGATCGCCGGCGCGAGAATGCTGAGCGCCTGCAGGATGATGCCGATCAGGATCATGCAACTGAGAGCTCCCTGCCCTCAATGACAGCTCGGCAAAGGATGTGGCGGGCCTTTGAAAACCCACACACCAGTACACTGGCTCTGGTCTTCTACTATGTCACTGGTTTCTTCATTGCTGTCTCTGTTATCGCTAATGTGGTGGAGACGGTGCCCTGCGGGGTAAGCCCGGGTCGCATCAAAGAACTGCCCTGTGGAGAGCGCTATGCTGTGGCTTTCTTCTGTCTGGATACTGCCTGTGTCATGATCTTCACAGTTGAATATCTTCTACGTCTGCTGGCGGCCCCTAGTCGCTACAAATTCGTGCGCAGTGTCATGAGTATCATTGATGTGGTTGCCATCATGCCATATTACATTGGTCTGGTGATGACAGATAATGAGGATGTCAGTGGGGCTTTTGTGACACTACGAGTCTTTCGTGTCTTCAGGATCTTTAAGTTTTCCCGCCACTCACAGGGGTTGCGCATCCTGGGCTATACCCTGAAAAGTTGTGCCTCAGAGTTAGGCTTCCTCCTCTTCTCACTCACTATGGCCATCATCATCTTTGCCACAGTTATGTACTATGCAGAGAAAGGTTCATCAGCCAGCAAGTTCACCAGCATCCCTGCAGCCTTCTGGTACACCATTGTCACCATGACAACACTGGGGTAAGTGCAGCTGGTGTTTGGTTACAGCCAACATTTCAACAAGTGCATTGACATGAACGGAAGATACTCAGTTTAAAAAAAAATGTTGATAGAAAAAATGCGAGGGTAAGTTTTTGTTACAGAACTTTATAGATACAACTCATAACTTCTTTCTAAATGTTTTACACATGCAAGTGAGTTAAAAGTGTTGCTGAAGTTAAAATAATCCAAACCCCAAAATGGCAGATAAACAGAAAAAGCAAACAACGAAGTAAAAATAAATATCTTGAAACTGTTTAAGTTCTTTGTAATTTTCTCAAACATTTTATTTGGGTTTGGATAGTGAAATTGGAATATTTTTTGACACTTGGTGAGTTATCAGTGGATTTTTAATAGAATAATGTGTTTGCTGACAGGACTTGTTTTAGTGTTGCCGAAGTAGTGATAATTGTTATGAGAAGAACCCAAGTGTGACCTTTTAATTTGATCATGCATAAAAGTATGTGGGTCTGCCATTTTCTTTGAAGTGATGTGTTGATGTTGACTTGAATATTGAGTTTGGTGTTATAAAGTGGTTTGTTTTCATGAAAATAAAACAGGTATAGATACCTTAATCTTCAAAAAAATTATTCCTGATGTTATTTAAGACACTGGATAAATTTCCTTTGCTATCCGTGGACCTGTAACTTGTAAATGACAAGTGTCAACCTAAGCTGACCAGTGACAGACTCTAGAAAGTGATCTGAGGAAGAGTGAGACATATGACAGATCAAGCATATGCCTTAAAACATTATTTTAATGGCATTATAAAAACTGCCTGAGAATAAGCAATTAAAAAATGCTATCGTTGACATTAGAGTCCAATGCTGTTTAGTGGAAAGATGAGAGATGGCTTAGTTTTATAAAGTCTCTGACACTAGAGTTACATTGTACCAGCTGATTTTGTGCACCAAGTTGTAAAATGCATTTGTCTGTAATTATAACATGGATTTTGGAGGTTAACTCATTTGAGAAGACGTTGGTTTTTTTCCCCTGTTCTTAATTTTAAGCTGTAGAATGTCACCTATGACACTGAAAATTTGTGGATTCCTTAGAAATTGTCTAGTTATTTAATAACTACAGATATTACATGATAAACTTTTCAGTCTCATGAAGAAAAAACCCATTTTTTTATTAGTCAAACATTTTGCCACATCTTGTTGGGACTGTTGAGATTTATGAAACATGTATAATTTTTAGATTTAACAAAATGAAAGTGCATTATTAAGCTATTATGAAAAAGTTGATTTATTATGTGCAATTGTAATTTAGGTTAGCACATACAAAATGTTAAAAAAGATAAAGAGACTGTCTAACGCCACCATTTTTTATACAGAGCTTTTATCTTCAGTGTGATATAACAAATGAAGATAAATATAGTGCATTGTAAATATTTCATACTACTTGTAAGGGCAGGTTATGCTAAAAAGGAGTGACAAGAGCTTTGGGGATTTTAATCTGCTTTTTAGGTTCCTGGATTTTTTTTTGGATTTCATTTTCTTCTGGTAATGACAAACTAAAGGGACAAGTTAGCAAGAGGAACAAGTTATATACTCTAACCAGTTCTGTAGTCTTGTATTTTCTGCTGCTGCTATTTTTTGCCACATATTTTAATTAGAACTGTGATGATTTCAACACATTAGGCCTTACAAATTTATGAATGTTTAGAATGTATAATCTTATTATAAAAGAACAGAAGCTGGTCTGTAGTTTTGGTAACAAAAAGCGTGGTTTTTTTGACAGGGCAGTACTTGTCCATGGTACTGAACATAATTTTGTCTTCAGTTTCATGAGCAGTTTGCAATTGGTGATGGTGTGGCTGTGGTGTCTGTTTGGCACTGGAATGACTTCTTTGATCCTTTCACACACACACACACACACAAGAGTATTAGTCTACATTTGCACATTTGGAGGTATTATTCTGTGTAAAATCTTCAAAAGTACTGAGCTTTGAATAGCATTAAAAATCTCTTCGCATAGAGCATAAGAATCTACTTTCAACTACACAGACATACAATATATAGGGCCTAAAGGGAAGAAAAAGAGTTAAAAAGAATAACTCACTGTTGACTCCTTTTCTGAAGTAGTTCGCACAGTGAAAGTTTTGAGCAGGTGGTACAGAGATCCAAAGTTTTACCCTCAGAAGTTCAGATACGATTATAAGTTCAGGTATGACAGACATCACAAAATTCTAGTAAATCTTTAATCAATGCATTAGCTACATGATGTCCTTTAAATAACATAATGAGAATCATATACAGATTATGTTTAAGTGTTAAATGTATATTAATAATTTAAATAGAATTAACATAGCAAAAGATTTGAACTCTTTTTAATTGATGGAATAATTACACAAAAAAGAGGGAAATTGTAAGGGGAAGCACCAAGGTTTAGTGAAAGTTGATTGTCATTAGTACTTCTACCTTTGCTCTGTGCTAAGTCTTCTCATCCGTTTACTAATACAGAACTCCCATTCATTTTTAATTTTAGTTTTAGCCGAATTAGAGCTATATAAACTGACTCTAAATGAACAACCTTTTTCTTTTAGCAGCAAAGCTAGATAAAGTCTTTATAGTTTAAATGACAGTAGCACACAGCAGGTTTTGTGAAAAATTACAAAAATACTTGAAAGCCAATACCGACTGATGGATTAATGTAAGGTTGAGTTTTTGAGTCTTGGTGTCATTCTCATATTTTGCTAGGTAGCAAGAGAATTGAGTAAGCGACCTTTGCAATTTGGGGAGTTACTATCTTGGAAGCAGAGCTATATTTCTCAGTTCTGCATGATTGCTGAGCAATTAAAGTATCTTTAAAAAACATAAATTACATTTTTCTGCAGAGTGCCAGTGACTTCAAATATTACTACATTTTAGACTCTAAGGATATCTCAGCTATTAACTGTTCTTGACTGCTCAACACAAGTAATACACAGTTGTACATAAGGATGTTATATGAAAGAAATGAAAGAAAGGGATGAAAAGAGAAAGCGAGAAAGAGATATAGGCGGAGAGGTAAAGAAGAGAGAGAGAAAGATGACTCCAGAATAAGAGCATGCACTCTGCCAGAATCTGAGCTGTCTGATTTAAAATTTCAAATTAGTGTTATCAGTATTAATTGTAGCGAAAGCAAAAGTGAAGGAGAGAAAAGAAAGGACAAGAGATTAAAACTGAAAAAGTCACAAAACAGTTTGTGGAGATGCAAGATAATGATGAAAACCATAGAAGTTAGGGGCCTAATGGTCAAGAGAGAAGGCAGTGTGAAACCTGGCAGAGAAAAAAGCTCAGGTCTATTGAATCAACAGACTTACATAGAGGCTTGTGAACATCTACATCCAATGACTACTGCACTGTTATGTCACTTTTTTGCTATCACCTTATGTCATGATAATCTAATAACTCGCCTTCTGCTCTGGCAATAGCTAGAAAATGAGCTGAAATAGCTGCTTAAGATTTTGATGGTGTAAGGGTAACGTTTGTTCCCAAACCGGGAAGAGCTATAGTGTAGTTTCTGCGTTTATTAAGATATTCTACTTTAAATAAGGAACACAGTGCACTTCTGTGATGAGTTCTAAAGCTATCTCACTGCTATATTAAAGTTCCATATTTATAGGCTTTACATTGGGTAGCTTTTTCAAGTTGTACAATACTACTGTAGATCAACACTATACTTTATGAAGGGAAGCCTCAACACAAGACTATTTATTTATTTGCTTTGATTGTATAAAATATAGGTGTATCTTCCAGAAAACATATAGCAAATAATATATAAGGAATCCCATCTAAGTTATAGCAAATTCGCTGAAGACTTTATAATCAAGCAGGTGACTGGATGTGACAGCAGAAAGCCTCAAACAGTGAACAGGGGAATAGGGCGATGGATTTAATTTTCCTGCACATTCTGTTCTCTCCCATCTTTACTCTTTTTCCATTCTTATGGCCTCCCTATGGGTATATTTAATCTATTTGTTTTCTTCACTTTTATTTCATATTACCAGCTACCACTTTCCACAGTCTTCCTGTTTGGGGATTTGTCTGCTGGCATAGCATTTTTCCTCCCTTGTTCAAGACAAGCTTAATGTTTGTATTAAGACTCTTCTGGCTTTATATTTTCTGCTTCTTTGTTCCAGATTCTTCATTTCTCCTTCACCACTAGGTCAAATCTTTCATTTATCCTCATTGTCATTCATTTGACCTGAACTTTCATCATAACATATTTTTTTCTGACCTTTGTTTGATAGATTTTTTTCCTTATGAGCATCATAAAATTTCCTCAGCATCACTTTTTTCCCAAATGCCACACATATTATCTTGTTTTTCTTTTCTGGCTGTTGTGAGTGCCTTTAGTTTATTATGGTCTTCACGTGCTAGTTCAAAAACATCTATCTCTTCAGAACTCGTATTTAAAAAATCGAGTTCAATAAAAATCTGACAAGAATGCATAATAAGACATCTTTATTTTGTGAACAATTTCATTAAAAGTTTGAATATACTGTTACGGTGAATATTACAAAGGTAGAGATTAGCAAATTTAGAGTATTTTTTTTGTATCCTTGCAAGTGCATATTGGCTTATTCATTCATTTTGTGTTTGATATTTTCACCCCTCTTTCAAAAAGAACTTTTCTATTTTTGTATTCTTGTATGCAACCTAGTGGATTTTGTATTTTACAACTGTGTTTGATGTCTCAATCTATTTTCTCTTCACAGCAGAGACGTTTAGCTTGAATAGTTAGAATACTATGTAACAGAGGAGGGACAAAGTGTAGTGTAATCACCTTCAAAGCACATTACTAGATATTCAAAAACGGCTTCAGGGAGAATTTGAAATACTGAAAAGCAAAGGTCATTTTGATGGCAGTAAAAAAAAAATATTTGTTCTCTAATAAAAAGATTACTCAAACTCTATTGTGCTATTGTTGGCTTGACAGAGAACAGGAGTCACTTTCTTCTCATTTAGTTGCACTGGGGACCAGCTTTCCTGTTCAAAA